AAGGCCGGCTCCACAGGGCGTCCCGGGCCCGCCGCTCTCCTCCCGACCCCAGCCCTCGGCCGCAGCCCCCGCGAGCGCGCCCCAGCGCCCTCCTCAGACCCCTCACCCATGATGAACAGCCTGTCCGCCCTCGTCGATCGTCACCGACAGGCCCCGGCCTGGGCAGCTACTCCTACTGCAGTCGCGGCGCCGCCACCTCCGCACGCCTGGGCCTCCTGCTCGGAGGCGGTTTCCTTGGAAGCCTAGTCAGCCAGCAGCTTCCACGTCGGCCACCCGGCGGGGGCGGGAACGAGCGCCACCGCGACTGCGCGCTGAGCGGCGGCCTGCGTGTCCGCGTCGCCGCTTTCGACGCAAGGTCGCGGCGCGCTGGGCTGTAGGGACTATGAAAGCCAGAAGAAAGAAAAAAGTCAAGGACGCTGAGTCTCTCCGGCTTCCGTTTTCTTGGACCGGAAGGGCTCCCGAAACAGGGACATTTGAATTTTGATTTTAAATTCAGACACCAAAAAGTGGCGAATCTGCTGACCGTGAACGCTAGTCGGCTTCGCAAACCAGCGCGACTGGACGCGGGCGCGCGCTGCGGCGTCGCAGGAGCTGTCGTCCCTGCAGCGCCCTGCGGGGGCGACCCGACTAGGCCTGGGTGCTGTCTCGGAGAAGGCAATAGGACTAGGTAATAATAATAGGAAGATCCCCTCAGCCACCCGTGCGCAGCACCTGACACCTGCAGCCGCTAACTGCAGGTTTTTGGCGTGGCAGTTAGAGGCCCTGCCCCCTTGGCGCCGCCTGGCTGTGTGCAGCTGATCACCTTCCTGTGACGGGCAGTGAGGACCGGCGTCCAGATCCTGCTGATTTGGGTTGGAGACCTGCTCCCTCCAGGGGCGTGGGGTGGGAGTAATGTAGGTCTTGGCAGTGAAGTGTGTGGGAGGAAGGCAGCGGCGCTTTGGAGTGGGGGAAGGGATTCTCCTAGACTAATTTTTTTTAAATATATCTTTATTGATTTCAGAGAGAGGAACATCAATGATGAGAGAGTCGTTGATTGGCTGCCTCCTGCACACCCCCGCATTGGGGATCCAGCGGCAACCTGAGCATATTCCCTGACCAGGAATCGGAACTGTGATCTCCTGGGTCCTAGGTAGATGCTCAACCCGGGAGCCAGGCCAGCTGGCTACGCTCTGCTTTTTTAAAAAGGTTGAGCATGCGTCTTAAAAATTAATCGAGCCCGGCCAGGTGTGGCTCAGCGGTTGAGCCCTGACCTAGGATCCAGGCAATTGGGGTTCGATTCAGTCAGGGCACATGCGGGGGTTGTGGGTTAGGCAGCTGATCAATGACTCTCTCATCATTGATGTTTCTATCTCGCTCTCCCCCTCTCCTTTCCTCGCTCTGAAATCAAAAAATATTAGTATTTTAAAGAAATTCATCAAAATACACGGAAAACAACCTGTCCCTGGCCTCTGATCATGCAGTTCTACCTAGAAGTCACCGTTATTAACACTTTCTTGGGTTTCCTTCCGAATATAATCTTTATACATATTATGTATTTATTTATAGTAGAGATTTTCATCCATTCAACAGTAGTTTATGGGCTGCCTATGTTGTTTTTTACTTCATTTTTCAGACCTAAACATTGAACTAGATTTGCCCATTGCTCTCTGCCCTGCTCCCAAATCATAAATGCGCAGAAATTATTCTTGTAAGGAAAAGTTTGGGGGTTTTGTTTTGTTTTGCTTTGTATAAAAAGGGGAGAGTTGAGCGACTCTTCACCTAAACACCTAGACCGTTTTAAGGCTGTGCTAGGTAAGCATTGGGTTGTTCAACTACTGGACCACAGCATGCTATGAGTCCACTGACTTTTCTCACCTAGTCTCATCCACCTCCAGCCCCTCTCTTTGCCGAGATTAGCTGCTACCACTTGGCACATCTTGGCCACTGCTTCTTCAAATTTATATCCATGTCAGATTTATGTTTCCAGTGCAGTGAGCTCTGTGAGGGCACTGGTCATATTTCTCTTATTTTTAGTTTATGTGCCTGCCTGATACATTATCTAGGACATGATAACAATCAGTGATAACTTGTTTGATGTTAAATAATACATTTTAATGAGGGCAAAAATATGCATGTATGAATCTAGGAAAATATAATATTTAATTTAGTGTAGCTTTCAAAGGGCAGACCTTTGCCAGCTAGGCAGCTTTTGCCTAGTGGGTGGAGGGGAGGGGGGAAGCAATTTCCCCACCAACTGGAAAACCTCTCACACCACCCTGTGAGGTTTATGGCTTGCTTTGGTCTGCATCCTGAGGCTCATTAAGAGACTATGACTAACAGTCAGCCTCTGGGTGCTTTGAGTCTTTGTCTGATCTGCTTCTGGACCCAGGGCTTGGAAAAGCAGACCTTGGTGGGCATCTTGGTCCTTTCCAAGCTCACCCAACCCAGCAGAGGAAACCACAAGCTGTGGAGTGCAGAAAACTTCAAACGGGGTACTCAAGGCTGGTCACAAACAGCATCTAACATTGGCCTGCACCAGAGACCCTCCAAAAGAATGGGAATCCTGGCAGATATACCTAATACATAGAAACAAACCCAAACAGGCAGCCAAAATGGGGAGACAAAAAACAAGCCCCAAAAGAAAGAACACGAGAATTCTCCAGAAGAAGAGAAATTAAATGGTGATAAACAATCTATCAGGTATAGAGTTCAGAATACTGATCATAAGGATGCTCAACATCATGATAAAAATATGGAAACTATGAAGGACATTAAAAATGACATAGAAATAAAAAACACATTGGAAGGAATAAACAGCAGATTATGGAAAGCTGAGGATCAGATAAGTGAATTAGAAAACAGGGTAGAAAAAAGTCAATCAGAGAACCAAAAAAAAAACAAACAGGAGGACAGTTTAAGGGAGCTGTGGGACAACATGAAACAACAATAGTCACATCAGAGGAGTGCCAGAAGGGGAAGAAACAAAAGCAAGGGTTAGAGAACTTGTTTGAAGAAATAATGGCAGAAAACTTCCCAAGCCTGGTAAAAGGAAAAGTCACACAAGTTCAGGAGGCACAGAGTCCCAAGCAAGAGGAACCCAAAGAGGCCCATGCACAGGTACATCATAATTAAAATGCCAAAAATTCAAGACAGAGAAAATCTTAAAGGCAGCAAGAGAAAAGCAATCTGTTACCTACAAAGGAGCTCCCATAAGGCTGTCTGCTGATTTCTTATCAGAAACTCAACAGGCCAGAAGGGAGTGGCATGAAGTATTCAAAGTAATGAAAGGCAAGAATCTGAAACCATAACTACTCTATCCATCACGGCTATCATTCAAAATAGATGATGAAATAAAGAGCTTCCCAAACAAAAGAAGGCTAAAGGAGTTTATCGCCACCAAATCAGCATTGCAAGAAATGTTAAAGGGACTGCTGTAATAAGGTGAGAGAGAGAGAGAGAGAGGGAGAGAAACATAGGCATAAAGAATTAAAATAGCAATAGGTAAGTACCTGTCAATAATAAGCTTAAATGTAAATGGATTAAATTCTCCAATTAAAGACATAGGGTAGCTAAATGGGTTAGAAAACATGACCCAAATATATGCTGTCTACAAGAGACCCACCTCAGAACAAAAGACTCACAGGTTGGAAAAAAGAAAAACTTTTGGAGTACTTTAAAGGAGAGATTGACAGCAATACAGTCATAGTAGGGGATATTAACACCCTACTGACTTTACTGGATAAATTTTCCAGACAAAAGAACAACAAGAGAGCAGTGACTTTAAATGACACACTACATCAGATGGATTTCATTGACATTACAGAACATTTTACCCCAAAGCTGCAGGATATACATTCTTCTCAAATGCACATGGGACATTCCCAAAGATAGACCACATGTTAGGACACAAAACTAGTGTCTACAAATTCAAGAAGATTGAAATCATATCAAACATCTTCTTGGACACTTACACCATGGAATACTATGCAGCTGTAAAAAAGGATTCCTGTCCTGGCTGTTTTGGCTCAGTGGTTAGAGTGTCAGTCCTCATACTGAAGGGTCCGGATTTGATTCCAGCCAAGGGCACGTTACCTGGGTTGCAGGCTTGGTCCCAGGTAACCAATTGGTTGCAGGAGGCAACCAATCAATGTTCTCTCTCACATCAATGTTTCTCTCTGCCTCTTTCCCCCACTCTCTCTGAAAAGCAATGGGGAAAAAATAATAGAAGGATTCCTTACCCTTTGAGACAGCATGGTGGGACCTGGAGACTATTATGCTAAGTGAAATAAGCCAGGAGAGAAAAACAAGTATCATGTGATCTTACTCATATGTGGAATCTAATGAACAAAATAAACTGATGAACAAAATAGGTCCAGAGACATAGAAGCATGGAACAGACTGAGGGATCTCAGAGGTAAGGGGGGAGATTAACCTAAAAATTTATATGCATATATGCATAACCCATGGACACAGACAATAGTG